AACTACTGGGCTATGAGTCAGTTGTCCGACTCTCTAAGAACTTGTCCCTCCCCGTGATGGAACCCTTCTGTTCATTCAGCCCTTGGGGGCCTGACAAGCTAGCAGGAAAATATTGGTAGGGGAGTTTTGGCAGAGCTCCTGTCACCGCCTATGAGATGTGTCCCACTTGCCCCAAGGACAAATACATCCAAGCCTCTGAAGCCTGCTCATGGGCAGTTTCCTCTCCCAAATGCACCCTCTGAAACCTGTCAGGTTGACTTTACTCAATCGCTACCTGCCCTTGGATACAAATATGCTTTGCTTATGGTCTGTATGTTTTCCTGGTGGGTGGAAGTGTTCCCCTGTTATACTGCCACAGCCTCTGGGGTGGCAAAAATCCTCTTAGAAAAAATCATTCCATTATGGGGGGGTGTCCTAAAGAGATTCATAATGATAGAGGGACCCATTTCACAGGAGCTTCATTAGCTAAGCTACTTTCATCCTGGCCAATTATTCAGCACCTCCATTGTGCCTGTCACCCGCAGTCATCAGGAATGGGATACTTAAAACTTCCCTTGCTAAATTCACTGAGGAGCTAGGTATCCCCTGGCCTTTGTTAACCCTTAGGTCTAGACCATTTGGTTCCTGTAAGCTCAGTCCCTATGAGATAGTAACAGGACACCCAATGCTACTGGACCCGGGGGTGGGAAGCATAGCACCCAAAGGCCCCCTCCTACAATACTGCATTGGGTTGGCTCAGAAGATATCAGAGACTTACTAACTTGTCTCACAATCCCATTCTTTAGAAACTCCAACCGAAACTCCGTCCCTGATCCAACCTGGTAACTAGGTCTACTGGAAACGTCATCTCCGAAAACACTCCTTGGAGTCACAGTGGATAGGCCCCTTTGAAGTCCTGCTCACCACCCCCACTGCAGCCAAGCTCGAGGGAGCAGGGTCCTGGATCCACCTGTCACATCTCAAAAGGGCAGTAGCCCCCTCTTGGATTTCAGGACCCATTGGTAACCTGACCCTAAAGATTAAATGGGGTTCAAAGTGGCTGACATCTGAGGTGGACAGCTGTTCCCAAGACCCCCAGGATGAGAAGATGACAGCTGATGTAGACTACTAACCCAAGAATGGGACATGGCCTGAGGTTGGCAGTTACGCCCTCTATGAACCAAGCCTTTGGTTTTTCTCTTTGCTGCTGTTTCCTCAACCTCTTCATGTTCACGGAAGTAGCTTTTTCTTTCACTTTGATGTTGTACTTATCTCCTTAAGTTGGGATTTAAGTTGGGATTAATGAAAATTTTGCCATTTAAGGTAAAAATTCCTGGGGCTGTATTTTGTTCTGAGCTTTGATTTCAGGAATAGTTGTCTGAATTGTCATAAGACCAATAATAGAAAATGGCATGTATGGCAGTCTGAGGACTGCTAAGGTGGATGTCTTCACCTGGTAAAGGTTGTAAGGATAATTTAGGTCACAACCTACATAGGATCCTCCTGACTTTATTTCTCCATTGTGCTATTTCCTTTCTGGAAAAGGAAAATTCTCACCTGGTTAATCCTGTGCCTTGCTTTAATACTCTGTAACTACCTAATTGGCTGTTAGATGTGACTCGTGCCTGGAATCAAACAGAGTTAAGGGAGTTTTCCCCCTTGTTTGTCTCTCTTTTTTCCTTTTATAGCAAATTTCTATAATCAAAAAAAATTTTTTTTTCAAAATCGTGTTTCAAATGAATGTTCCTCATCGGCCTTCAAGGGTTGTTCTGACCTTTTTGGCTGAAAGGAGGGAATGAGAAGGGAATTCGTAATTTTCATATTAATTGATATGATATGTGTAAATGAATATACTAATAATTTAGTTTTTTCAAGAGCTGACTTGGGAGTTAGAGCTCACAATGCAGCTTAAACTGATCAATCAAAATTCTGACAACGCTCACAATCACTGAATCTTAAGTGAAGCTGATGGGGGTGCTTGGGTGCTTGTACTTGGACCCCACTTCCAAGATCATATTTCTCTCTAGCCTCAAAACACTATCCCCGGCAGTTTTTTCCCCAGCCCAAAGACCCTGTCTCTGGCAATAACTCATGAGGGGCCCCAGTGAGGTAAATTTTCTCACTATTTCTTCCTGTTACAAGAACAAAGTGACCTCTGTAGAATTGCCCTTGTATGAATAGACTATCTTGTGTCAACAAAACCATCATGTACTGATTCCCACAGTTATTGTATACGATCCAGAGGTTAAGTTATAGACATCAACTCCAGAAGCTGTCTTGTTACAGACATAGCAGACCAAAAATCCACTCCTACACTCCTTAAGAAACCCCCTCTCCGGTTTCTAGTAGGGAATGATGCCTGTGACTAAGGTTGGATGTTATCACCTAATTAGCATACTTGGCACCCAGTCCACTACTTTTCCTATATAAGTTTTAGCATCATTCCTGTTAGGTTGCAGAATCCCTTAGGGAGCTCTGCCTGCCATGTTAGTGTTATAATAAACCTTTGCCAACTTGATGCCAACAAGCATTAAAGAATGCTTGAGTCCTCAAATTCATTCCAGATGACCCTGTCCTGTACTTTGGTCCTTGAGGGGTCCCTGAACCTGTAAAACCACATCAAAGGTTGAAGAACCTGTTCCTGTCACAGAACTCTGGTTCTGTAGTTCAAGGGAGGTGGTCACAACCCCCAAAGATGACTCCAGAATTGTTGTATTGTGGGACTTAGGGGTTTTTTGAGGGAAACCTCTAAATGATTGTTTGTAATCCACCTTCCCCCCCTTTCCCCATTGTGATTTAAGTATATAACCTGTGCTTTTGCTTCAGCTAAGAGAAAATTCCACACGCTGAAACTGATTAATTAAACTAGTTGATTACTGACACTCCTGTCTCTAGGCTAGCTTTGTGAGGCTCTGAGCATTTTCAGGTTAGAGAATGGCTCAGTAGAAATCCTGTTACAAGTTCAAATCTGGCTTCAGACACTTAGTAGCTGTGTGACCCTGGGCAAGTCACTTCACCCTGTTTGCCTCAGTTTTCTCATCTGTAAAATGAGCTGGAAAAGGAAACGGCAAATCACTCCAGTATCTTTGCCAAATGGGGTCACTGAGAGTCAGACACAACTGAAATAACTGATCAACGTGGAAAAAGCTGTTGACAGAATAAATTGGAAATAATTAACAGAGGGAAGGCACTGGCATTAAGAGGAATGGGAAAAGCCTTCTTGTAGAAGGTGGAATTTTGGCTGGGATTTGAAGGAAGCCAGGGAAGCCAGGAGGCAGAGATGCCTTGGAGACTCTGGACTTCGGTTCTGGTACTGTTGCTTTCTAGTTGTGGGACCTTTGGCAAAGCACTTCGTCTACTGGACTCTTAGCTTCTTTATCTGTGAAGTGGGGACCGGTGGGGTTTGACCTGCTATTTAAGGTCTTCTACTCTGATAGCATGCTTCAGTGGAATCAGCAGGGCCTCTGGGGTCAAAAGACCTGGGTTTGAATCCTAGCTCTGACAGCTTGTTATCTTGGGCAAGTCACTGAAAGACCTGGTTAGTTTCTTCAACTGTAACATAAGGAGGTTGGAGTAGGTGGCCTCGGCGGACCCTTAATTCTATTCAATTCAATAAACATTTATTCAGCAACTACAGTGGGTCAGGCAAGGTGCAAAAAGAGCCAAGGACAGTCCCTACCTTCAGGGGCTTACACTCTCATGGGGTGACTAGGAGCAAACTGAAGTCCACAAAGCAAGCCGGGCACAGGATAAATGGGAAATATTTGAGAGGTAAGGCGTTGGGATTGAGAGAGCTCTCCCGAAAATAAGATGTACAGGAAATGAGGTATAGAAATCTATCCTGCCCTACAGGAAAATTGAAGGGGAAGGGGATAAGAGAAGGGGGGAAGAGATAGAAGGGAGGGCAGACTAGGGGAAGGGGTATTTAGAATGCACGCCATCTTGGGGTGGGGGGAGGGGCAAGATGGGGTGAAAATTTGGAACTCAAAATCTTGTGGAAGTAAATGTTGAAAACTAAAAATAAATAAATGAATTAAAAAAAAGAAAAAAAAGCTCTCTGGAGCTCACGTCCTGTGACATTCTGTGCATCGACATTTCAATCCCTTTCCAGTTGTCCAAATTCTTAACGTCCTGTGTTTCAATAATCCCCTTGTTTTCATGGAAGTTCTAGCCTTCTGCGTTCCTTTTACTCTTACCATAGAATGTCTAACCACAACATGTTCTATTTATGTTGATTTGTTGTTCAGTCGTGTCTGACTCTGTGACTCCATTTAGGGTTTTCTAGCCAGAGATACTGGAGGGGTTTGGCGTTTCCTTCTCCAGCTCATTTTACAGATGAGGAAACTGAGGCTAATGGGGTGAAGTGACTTGCCCATGGTCACACAGCTAGTAAGTTACGACCCCAAACCCCTTCCACTCGGAATCTATTTTCTGATGTTCTAAGCTCCTTCCCAGCTCAGACATTTTCTGTCCTAACGCCATGTTTCAGAATCTTTTCTCCTCTAACAATTCATTTTCTATTTACTCTGCGTTCTAATATTCCAGACTGTTAGGTCGCTTCCCTTTTGCCAGTTTATGTTCTATGTTCTGACACTGCGTTCTAAAGCCCCTCGCTCCCGCTCCTAGGCACAGTCTGCGTTCTAAGGCTCCTAGCACTGTCCAACGTCCTAAAGCTCTTCGCTCTCAGACCAGCCCACGGTCCACGTGGGATCTGACACCCAGCGTTCCAAAGTTCCCCGCACCGTCCATGCCCCAGCGTTCTAAGGGCCCTCCCAGTCTGGCCATCTAAAGTTCTAGGCCTCTTTCCACGAAAGGCCGGTTCTCTGGCTCTCTCCCGGGGGCTGGTGCTGAGGGGCACCAGGAACGAGGTGAGAACCGCCCCTTTCCCTTTCTAGACCCATCCCGAGCTGACGCGGGCTGACGGAGCACGCTGGGGGCTGAGCCCGCTGTCAGGAGCGAGTCACCAGCCGCCGAACCCTGACCTAGGAGGAGCTGGGAGGCCACTTCCTCGGCGCCGGCGCGCCTGATTGGCGGCCCGCGGTAGCCTGAGCGGGGTCCCGAGGGGCTGGGGCAGGGACTGTCGGCGCCTCTTCCCCTCCCACCTCCTCCTTCCCTGGTCCTACTTGACCGGCACCCCCGCCACACATGCCAGATTGGTCCTGGTTGCGCTACAGGTGAGTCGGCTCGGCAGCTGCGCGCAGCTGGATCCTGGACGGACTGGGAGAGGTGGCGGGTCCAGAATCTCCGGGCTCTGGGCTTGGGGGTTGGGGTACGAGACTTGCGAGCGCTGACCCCTGTCCTCCAGGTCTCCTCTGCCAGTGTACTTGGGTGGCCTTGGGTAACTCGGTTAAGTTGTCCCTGCCTTAACTTTCCCCTCTGCAAGCTGAGGCGGGCTGCTTTCTCAAGAGGATGGCCAAAGTCCTTTCCAGCTCGAAGCTCTTGCGATCATTGGGCAAGGCACCCAGTTTCCCCTTGGAAACGAAAGACTGGACTGTGTGTGTGTGTGTGTGTGTGTGTGTGTGTGTGTGTGTGTGTGTGTGTGTGTGTGGTGGAAATTTTATGCAGAACTTGTGGGAAGGGTCATCCACGGACAGAGTTAATTTCGGTTTTGGAGGGGAGGAGGCTAAGGATGTGAATTTACTTAAGTGGTCAGCTTTACTTTTGTCTATGTTCATCCACCTATCTTTTAATCCTTTCCAAACTGATTCTTACCTGTGACTTCTTGCCTTCTAATTGAATGTCAATTCTTTGAAAGATTTTTTTTTCTTTTCAGTCTGTGTATCCCTAGTGCTTGGCAGTCAGTCGACAAGCATTTATTAAGCCTTTCTATGTACCATGCCAGGCACTGTGCTAAATTCTGGGGATACAAAGAAAGGCAAGAACATAGCAAAGCCACTGCATTTTCTAACATGGAGATAGCATGCAAACTGACCCCTGGATCTGCTGGCTAGTTGGTTTCCAATTGATGGAGAGGAAGTGGCTGTGGAGTGGACAGAGAACAGGACCGGGTTCCAGTTCCTTTCCTGAAACTCCCTAGATGTGGGAGGTGTGTCAGCTGACAAGGAGTCAGCAGACCTGGGTTCAAATCCTCTATCTGCCTGGGTCCCAGCCTCCCCAGGCTTGTTTCCTCATCTGTAACAACTGACCTCTGAGGCCCCTCTGATCCCCCACCAGTGGCTTCCCAGTGAGGATAATGGATGGGTCATCCATTCAGAGCTGGGAGGGAACTTAGAAGTCAGCTAGCCCAAATGGGGAAACTGAGGCCCTGAGAAGTAGTGACTCACTGAAGGTCACACAGGTGAGGGGGGAGGTGGCAAAGGCAAGATTGGAATGCAAATGCTTCTTCAAAACTGTCTCAGCCTTGGAGGTCTCAGCTTTAATGTTGGTCATTGGAAACTACTATCATTTGGTGTTACGGTAGAGGCAGGAGGTCAAGAAGCTGGACGCTCCTGCTCACTCTTCTTCCCCTCATGGGCATTCTCTGTGGCATTTTGCTTTTCTCGGAGAAAACCAAAGATGACCCTCTTGATGTGTCATTCTGCCAGGGATGAGAAGGGAGTGGAGGCTGGAGCTAAGTGGGGAGGAGAAGGTTCAGATCTAAGAGAGAGACAGAAAGAGACAGAGAGCAGAAGAGAAGGAGAGAGAGAAGAGAGAAAAGAGACAGAGAGAGAGAGACAGACAGAGACAGACAAAGAGAGAGAGAGAGAGAGAGAGAGAGAGAGAAACACAGAGACAGAGACAGAGAGAGAGAAGGAGGGAGGGAGGGAGGGAGGGGACAGACAGAGAGAAGGAAGGGGGGAGAGAGAGACAGAGACAGACACACACACACACACACACACACAGAGAGAGAGAGAGAGAGAGACAAAGAAACTACTGAGAGAGAATGTGTTAGGGGGAGATAGATTAACCTTGGGAGGAGATAGATTAACCTTAATTGTTTTTGAATTTTCCTCTTCTGTGATTGCCCATTCAGGCTTTCTAGGAGGGAAGTTAACATTTACATTCAGGGCAAAGGGTATGGGAGATGGAGGTGGTGGAAAGCTTGGTCACTTGGTCAGATGTTAGTTGGGCCTGAGGGGAGGGCTCCTCTATCTTTCTCTCTTCCTTCTTTTTCATCTCAGGCATTAAAAAAAAATTTTTTTTGCTTAGTCACAAGGACAGAATAATTTTTTCCTTTTGAATCAATTGACATAAAAATTACTTTTGGTGGTTTTTTAGAGGATCATAATTCAATTCAAAACAGCAGGCATTTATGAAACTCCTGCTGTATGAAGAGAGTGCAATGGCAGGGGCTGAGAAGGAGGTGAAACTGTGAGAAGGCATGGACCCTCACAGTCCTTTTTTAAAAAGTTATTTATTTAGTATTTTATTTTTCCCCAGTTCCATGTAAAAACAATTTTTAACATTTGTTTTTAAAACTCTGAGTTCCAAATTCTCTCCCTTCCTTCCTCCTCATCCCCTCATTGAAAAAGTAAGCAATTCGATATGGATTATAATGTGTAGTCATGCAAAACACTTCCATGATAGTCACGTTGTGAAAGAAAAATAGAGCAAAAAATCAAGAGAAATAAAGAAAGTTAAAAAAATATGCTTCAATCTGTATTCCGACACTGTCAGTTCTTTCTCTGGGGATAGATAGTATTTTTCATCATAACTCCTTCAGAGTTGTCTTGATCATTGTATTGCTGAGAATAGCTAAGTCAGTCACAGCTGATTATCTTACAATATTGCTGTTACTTTCTACACGGTACATATCACTTTGCATCAGCCCATGCAAGTCCTTCCAGGCTTTTCTGAGAGCATCCTGCTTATCATTTCTTATAGTACAGTAGTATTCCATAATAATCACATACCGCTACTTGTTCAGCCATTTCCCAATTGATGGGCATATCCTCAATTTCTAATTCTTTGTCCCCAGAAAAGAGCTGCTATAAATATTTTTGTAAATAGAGGTCCTTTTTTTTTTTTAAAATCTCTTTCAGGATACAGACTTAATACTGGTATTGCTAGGTCAAAGAGTATGCCTGGTTTTATAGCCCTTTGGGCATAGTTCTGAATTGCTCTACAGAATGGACCTCACAGTCTTGTAGCTGATTACTAACAGCTAGAGCCATCTTAAGCAAAATCAACCAATATGTTTGTAGAATCTGAGAGTATAACCCGTGCTTCCCACCCCTAGTCCCCCAACTCTGTCTTTAAGGGAGAGAGGTACATTTTTTCAACTCTCCTCTAGGGTCGAGTTTGATCATTATCATTACAATGTTCCCTTGTTAACAGCTACATTACTCTGTGCAGAATGCCAAAGTGGCTTTTGATCCTGGTGGCCTATGTGGTCCTTGGCTTGGTGCATTCAGAGGAAGATTCCAGGAAGAAGAAACATGTGGATCCTGAAGCATACATGAATATTGTGAGTTTCCTCCACGAAGATCTGGGGAATGCTTGGGAGAAAAAAGTCTGCCTTCTGGGGTCTGCTCTGCCTCCTTGAGGAGTTGCCATTGGGATTCAGCTCATACCTGCTTCTTCTACCTCACAATCTTTCTTTTGGTCCAACCTTTCAGATGCTGCTTCCACCCCCATCTCCATTTTTCTTTCTCTCTCCCCTCTCTTACCTTCTTCTCTTCTTTCCTTCTCTCCTTTCTCTCCTTCTCTCTCTCCACCTTCCCTATCTCTTCTCCCTCCCCTTCTTTCTTCTCTTTTTCTCTTTCCTCTCCTCTTTCCTTCATCTCTCTTCCCTCCCTCATCTCTCCTCCCTCCCTCTCTCTTCCTCCCTCTTTTCTCCTCTCTCTTCTTCATCTCTTCTCCTCCTCTTCTCTTCCCTCTCCTCACTTTAATCTCCTTCTCCCCTCCTGTTTCCTCTCCTTCCTCTTCTTTCTCTAATGTCTCTCTCTCTGTCTCTGCCTCTCCCTCTCCCTCTCTCCTCCTCCTCCTCCGTTTTTCCCTTCTTTTTCTCCATCTCTCCCTTCCCTTTTCTTTCTTTCTCCTTCAGTCTAGCAGATTCATTCAAGGTTAAATGATTCCTTTCCCCATTCCTTCTTCTCATTGGTCAGAAAATACTCCCAAGCCTGCCACCCCCAGGTCCTTGTTAACCTCACTGAATGCAAGAGTGAGGTGTTTTTTTCCAAGTCAGTTGTGGCCTCCCCCGGTTTCACGATGACCATCATGCTAATTAAATTTGGCCCAATCATGCAAAGTTGCAACATCTCCAGGATGATTAAAAAGTGGTATGACTGATATTTTTAATTTGCTTTAAAAATTTTTTTATTAATTTATTTTGATTTATCAACAATCGCTTCCATAAGCTTTTGAGTTTTAAATTTTTCTCCCCATCCTTTTTCACTTTTCCCCAAGACAGCATGCAATCTGATACAGGCTATATATATATACATATATATATATATATATACACATTCCTATTAAATAGATTTTCACATTAGTCATGTTGTAAGGAAGAATTAGAACCAATTGAAGGAACCACAAGAAAGAGGAAACAAAACAAAACAGAAGAAAAAAAAAGGGAAAACAGTCTGCTTTGATCTGCATTCAAACTCCACAGTTCTTTCTTTGGATGTGGACAGCATTTTCCATCATGACACTTTTGGAGATATTTTAGATCCTTGAATTACTGAGAAGGGCTAAGTCTATCAAAGTTAATGACGGATATTTTTAGACAAACACATGAGGCCTTCACTGTCACGTTCACAGATTTTTAAGACCCCGGAGCTATAGAATGAAGGGACCTACAAGGCCATCTAGTATGACCTCATTTTACAGCTAAGGAAATTGAGGATCAGGGAGAGTGCTTTGCCCACGGTCACAGAGGCAGGACTTGAACCCAGGGCCTCAGACTCTAGAGCCAATTCTCTTCCCACTGTACCACACTGCCTCCTCTTTTTCAGTATCCTAAATGCGATTTGCAGAGCAGTCTGGTCAATACAGTGGGTGGTCTCCTTGGGGGAATCTTATTTCTGCTCAAGAAATGAGGCAGGTTCATAAAGTAGCTAGCTGCTAATCCAGTGTGGTTTATGGGGTCTCATCAAGAGGAGCTCTGCAGAGGTTTTGGTATTGTTGGAATAAGTATCGATCCTTCCAGGGTGACTACTTGGAAGGAGCCAGTGCGTATAGACGTGGAGAAGTGCTAGGGCTCTCAGACCTCATCAGTGTGGGTACTGCCTTTGCTGGCACAGCCTTTGCTGCCTGTGTCTTGTTGAAAATTCTCCATTGAGAATCTTCCCATTTTTACAACAAAAATAAGGATTTTTGAAAAAGGACTTAAAGCCTTCTTTCCGTATTTGGTGAGTTCCTGTGTGCTCCCAGGCCTACTTTACCAGTCGTTTCCCTGTCAGCCTTCTGTCTCCCACCTCTGGGCCTTTGTCCAGGCATTCCCAGTGCTCAGAAAAGCACCCCTCTCCTCCCCTCCCCTCCCCTCTTTTGAACGGGCTCAGGACAGGTGTCACCTCCGGGAAGCCAGTGCTGCTCTTTTTAGTCTTCAGCATTTTCTCCCCTCTCAGTTCAAGCCTCTCATTTTGGTTCATTCCCATGTTGCATCCTACCAGTAGAATGCAAGCCCCTTGAAGACAGGGCCCGCTTTTCATTTTGTCTTTAATTCCTCACCACCTGGCCCATAGTAAGTGACTAATAAATGCTCTTTTGATTGAATTTGAGTGGAAGATCATGGCTGATAAGTGAGTGAGGCTTGTCATTTTTGACATTGCCGTGACATTTGGGATTGGGTTAGCTGCTGTTTGATTGGTCATTTAGTTGAGTCAGCTCTGTCACCCCCAGCCACTGGTTTCAGTTTCTCTTCTTCATTTCTGTTTCTAACTTTTCGTCCCACACCCTGCTCTTCCCCAAGACCTCTGAATAAAATTGGTTTTGTTGACGTTTGTTCTTCCTCTTCCCCTTTTTATCCTCTAATTGAAGAAACCATGGGCTGTGAAAGGGAGAAGTAGGGGTCTGAGTAACCCATGGGCATCGGGGAGTGGGAGCTAGCAGGTCCCCTGAGCAGTGGGGGAGACTCTTCACTTGAGTGCCTGGGAAACATTCTATAGTATGTTCATATGGAAACTGGATCGGAGGTCACCCAGAGAGAAAAGGAGTAAGTCACGGGCTTCTTTCCCCTAGACTTCAGTTCCTTCTCTCCCCTCAGTTAATCCACAGGATTAACTTAACAACCTAATGGAGTTGGGGGGTAGGACTAGAGAGTCCTGGGAGGAGGAGAGGGTCCCCTGTGGTTCAGGACATCAGAAGGGCAGTGGTAGATTTGGCAATTCTGGGTGAGGAGGATTTGGCCCTAGCAGAGGAAAAAGAGTCCTGGGATGTTCAGCCCTATAGGAGGCAATCAGTCAGTAAACATTTATTGAGTCCTTGCTATGTGTTAGGTGTTATGCTAAGCACTGAAGATACAAAGAAAGGCAAAAAAAAAAAAAAATGGTGTCTGTCCGCAGGGAGCTCCCATTCTAATGGAGGAGACTGCATACACCTAAAGAGATGCATACGAGATACATAGAGTAGAAGGAAGGTAATGGGAGAAGAGATGGCGCCAGGAGGCAGGACAAAGAAAGGTGGCCTGTGCAAGCTGGGGAAGCTAAGGCAGAATGGTGAGGAGGGAGAGCTTGGTGAAGAGCAGGGCTCAAAAGGCCCCGCCAACAAGAGGGAGAAATCTCTGCTCCTTTGCTGGGAAGATAGAGACCCAAGGGATGGGAAAGGCTCCTAATGCCTGGACCAAGCTGGGGATCCCCTAAAATAAAATCCTTTTTTATTATTAACATATCTGTCACCAACAAAAACAAACATTCCAAAATGCAAAAAACAAAAAGCAATGAGGTATGAGACTGACCTTGCATGTCTGTTACATAGAAAACAACATAGATTCAATGTAACTAAGTTGTAACTCGATTGCGGTTATTTTTCAGTGCTCCTTTCTGAACTTATTTTTATTTTCTTCTGTGATTTTTTTCATATCTATGACTACCCACCAATTCACCCCTCCTCTGCCCAAGCCCTCCTTCATAACAGGTGAATATAGTCAAACAAAACCAATCAACATATTGGCTGTGTTGGAAGGTGAATGGGGACCCACATTTATAGCAGACAGAGAGTTGGTTTGAGTCTCTGGACACTCGACTCTCTTCGTATGGTCAGTGGGATTGGAAGGACCTGTTTAGGGATGTCCTGTGGCCTGCTCCCATGAATGATCTTGAGAAGGCCGAGCTTCATTTAGTAATTGGAAAAATATGGTCGCCTGTCAAGTCTGATGAATGTTATTGCCCTCTCCCCGCTTTCCCCCCGTTAATCTCTTGGCTGTCCTCAGGTTTTCTCCCTGAGTCACCATTTGATTTTTCTCCCTACAGAGTGAAATTATCTCCTACTGGGGCTTTCCCAGTGAGGAGTATAATGTTGTGACGGATGATGGCTACATCCTGAACATTAACCGAATTCCACACGGCAGAAAGAATGGATGGGATAAAGGTATGGAGATTTCCAAGGGAAAAATGCCTCCTATTTATTTTGTAGATATTATGCCTATTAATTTGAATTTTTGCTATGTTTATTTCTGTTGATGATTGCTAGGTTTCTAATGATATAAAACAATTGCCCCTTGTATGGGGTGCGTTGAAAACCTCTCCCCACCTCCAGTGGGACAGATGCTGCAGGAGGGCAGAGACTATTTTGTTTGCCTCCTATCCCAGTGAGTATGGTGCTTTTGTACCTAGTAGGTGCTTAATAAATGCTTATCAAATAAACGAATGAATGAATGAGGAAGGGTAACCTCTGGGAGAGGGCCAGCTCTCAGAGACTAACTGCAGCAGATGAGAATATCATCCCTTTGTCAGGATTTTTTCAACCTGGAAACCCAGAAGGGTTCTTGTCTATAAGGCTCTAAACTAAAACTCTCTAACTAAACAAGGTTGATAAATGCTTCCAGTTTTAAAGGAAAAACAAAGTAAGAAGAAGCGTCTTCTCTCAAGGTCTTGGTGGAGGGAAGGAATGTAGGCTCAAATCAGTGCTGACGTGGGGATCCGGGAGGGAAGCTGCCAGTCATTCATTCATGTCTGACTCTTCATGACCCCATGGACCACAGAACACCAGGCCCTTCTGACCCCTACCGTATTCTGAAGTCTGTCCAAACTCATGTTCATTATTTCCACGACACTCTCTATCCGTCTCATCCTCTGCCGTCCCATTCTCCTTTTGCCTTCAATCTTTCAAGTCTTTCCCATTGAGTCCCATCTTCTCATTATGTGGCCAAAGTATTTAGACTCCAGCTTCAGTATTTGACCTTCCAGTAAAGAGCCTGAATTAATTTCCTTCAGTATTGACTGATTTGATCTCCTTGCTGTCCAAGGGGCTCTCAAAAGTCTTCTGCAGCACCACAATTTGAAATCGTCTATTCCACAGCACTCAGCTTTCTTTATAGTCCAACTCTCACAGCCATGCATTACTACTGGAAAAAACAGAGCTTTGGCTGTATGGACCTTTGTCGGTAAGGTGATGTCTCTGCTTTTTAGTATACTGTCCAAATTTAATAGCTTTCCTTCCAAAGAGCAAGTGTCTTTTAATTTCATGGCTGCAGTCACCCTCTTCAGTGATCCGTGAACCCTAGAATATAGAATCTGACACTGCTTCCATTTCTTCTCCCCCATTTGCCGGGAAGTGATGGGAGCAGTTGCCAAGATCTTAGGTTTTTGATGTTAAGCTTCAAGCCAGCTTTGATACCCTCACCAAGAAGCTTCTTAATTCGTTTTTACTTCGTGCCATCAGAAGGGAGAAGGGCCTGCTGCCTTTCCTGGGACAGGAGAGGGGGAAGAACAAAGCAGAGACTTCGCTCCTTCATTTCCATGTTGCTAGCAGTGGTGGTATCAGTGTGGGGCTATTTGGCTTTTGCTCTCCCCAAGTGTTTCCCCACTTTCTAATCTACCCTAGCTGGTTCTCCAAAGCTGTTTGGTTTACCTCAGAGATCCTGTGATTGTCCTTTGTGTGGATTGTGATTGTGTAGAGAGTCTCAGTGATCCATCGATGGCTAGGGTGCTTCTCAACACCACCTCTGGGATCAGGACCCAGAAAGTCTGAGCCATTGAAGAGGCCCGAATCCCTCCTTCCTCTGCCTCACTCTCCTTCTGGTCCTTGGTTAAAAGAGCTCCTGGGCCTCTAGGGGAGCTTGAGGCAAAGCCTATCCCAGTAGCTTCTTCGAAATGTAAAAGGAAGGGTTTTTGCCTGCAGAGGATTAGGAGTAAGGTCCTTGGCAAGCTGGGGGCTCCAGAGATAATCCAGCCCATTTCCCAGTTGAGGAAAATGAGATGCAGAGAAGGGAAGGACCCAGAGAAGACTGGGGGGTTGTGATAGGGGATGGGCAGGCTGGGGGGGGGGGGGAAACTTGATGTTTGTCTTCAAGTATTTGGAGGAAGCATTAGACTTGTTTTGCTTGGTCCCCCAGACCAGAAACAGGAGCAGTGGGTAGAAGTCACAAAGAGGCAAGCTTAGGTTGAATATCAGGAAAAATTTGCTAATGATTAGGGGTGTCCAGAAGTGGCCTGGGCTGCCTGGAGGAGTGGTGAGTTCCCTGTCCTTGGAGGTCTCCAAGCAGAGTCTGGATGACCATTTCTGGGGAAGTGTGGCAGAAGGGATTCCTTTTGGGGTATGGGTTGGACTTGATAACTGCTGAAGTGTCCCCTCCAACTCTTAGGTTCTGTGACTCAGTGTCTTCCTGTGGCCAAAAGCCATTGACTAAAAGAGTGAGGAGCAGGATGCGTCTGTTCAGAGAGTAATCCCATCTACTCTGTGGCCTTTGAAGATGGAGAAGAGGCTGGTCAATGTGGCTGCTGTGCCTTCCTCAGCCTCGGTTCCTTCATCTGAAAATTGGGCGTCCAGGCCCTGTCCAGCTCTAAATCTGTGACCTGCTTCAGGAAAGCCCCGTCACCCCTCCACTCTCTGGTCCTGCCTGTCACCAGAGTGTCCACCGTGATAGGCTCGTTCCTTTGGATGATTAACTTGAGTATAAAAATCCAAATACTCTTGGAGTGAATTAACACTTGGAGTGAATTAATAGATTAGTCAGCAGCTAGCTGAGGGCAAGAGAGGGCTCTGGGTTGGGAAGGATCATGCAGTTGATAAAGATTGGCCAGTTCAACCTCATTTTATGGAGGAGAGAACAGAGGGTCAGAGTGGCAAAGGGATTTGCCCAAGGTCATACCTGTGTGACTCTAAATCCACTGCACTGATGGAGGGATCAGGGGAAGGGGAGGAGAGGAACCTTGGATGGAAAGATGGAACCGAAGGGGGAAAGATGGAGCTAAGGGTGGAAGAATGGAGCTGAGGGAGGAAAGATGGAGCCCAGGGCTCCAAAGGCCCCAGGTTATAGACATGTGATGGAAGAAACGAGCCTCATGACTGTCAGCAGGGCACAAGGCCTTTCTGTGTAGATGAGAAGAGGAAATAGGCTGGGTGTTGGGCTTTTCCACTTGAGTGAATAAGGACAAATATGTGGTCCTTCAGGGAATGAAAGTTGAATGGGTGCCTATCTGTTACCAGAGTGGCCTCTGTCAAAATATAATCAGTGTGTACTCAAGGAGAAAGAGAGGGTTCCCTCCCTGAAGCTGAGGTAGTGGAGAGGGCCTTCAGCCTGGCAGCCAGCCAGGAAGTGAGATCCAGTGTGTGCTTGGCCATCAGAGTCGAGGATGATTTAGAATTGGGAGTGACTGGATGGAGAGGTTGCTGGAGAGCAAGGCCAAACAGGGCCTGTTTTTGCTCTGATAGTTTATTTTTTAAGTTTAACTTTTTTTATTATTACATTTTAAATTCCTATCTCCCTCCTCATCTTACACTAGAGAAAGCCACCATTTGACAGATTTATAACCCTATGTAAAACCATACTATGCACACTTCTACTTACCAGCTCCATCTCTGGGTGGATGGCATCTTCCTTCATGGGTCCTTCATAGTTGATTTGATTATTTATAATATTCTGAATAGTTTAGTCATTCACGGTTGTTCTTCAAACAATATTTTCCCCTTCTATCCTTTAAACCAGTCCAGTAGGTGTGCGATCCCTGCATTCCTGGCATAAATCCCACTTGGTCACAATGTCTAATCTTTGTGAAATATTGTTGTAGTATCCTAGTTAGGATTTTATTTAAGATTTTCGCATCCACATTTATTAGTGAAATTGGTCTATAATTTTCTTTTGCTGCCTTTGCTCTTCCTGGTTTAGGGATCAGCACCGTATTTGTTTGTAAAAGGAGTTTGGTAGAATCCTTTCTTTGCCTATTATTTCAAATAATTGATTTAATATTGGAATTAGTTGATCTTTAAATGTTTGGTAGAATTCACTTGTAAATCTGTCTGGTCCTGGTGCTCTTTTCTTAGGAACCTCATTCATGGCCTGTTCAATTTCTTTTTCTAAAATAGGTTTATTTAGCTCTGATAGTTTATTTGAGGAACTTGAGCTGGGCCCCAATTATTCTGCCCTTCCCTCTGGGGTGGAAAAGGAGGCATAGTTAAAACAAATTCTGAACTTCAAAGCCCCAGAAGAGAACATTTCCATTTACTCAGCAGGATACAAAAAGAGAATTCTTTATGAAACTGTAAATATCCATTTTGTACTATTTGCTTAAGAAAGAAAAGAAAAGAAAAGAAACATGCATGTAAGACATTCTGTGTGTTACTTTCAAAACTTCCTGCTTGGTTGTGCCTCTCTGACTTTGCTGTCCCAAAGTGAAATGGGCCACTTGGGGAGGTGGTGTTCTCCCCTTCACCGGAGGGCTTCAGGCAAAGGTTTGGATGAATGTGAGCTCCTTGAGGGCAGGGACTGTGGTTTTGAAGTTCTTTGTATCTGCAGTGCCTGGCTCCTAGTAGGTACTTAATAAATACTCATTGACTGACTGTTGTCAGGGATGCTATGGAGGGGGTTCTCAGTGTGGTTCAGGTTGGTCTAGATGGACCCTGAGGACCTTTCCAACTTGGGATTCAAGGTCTCCGTGAGTGTTGAGAGCAGAGACTGTCTTTTGCCTTTTTGTATCCCCAGCACTTAGTGCCTGGCACATAGTAGGCTCTTAAGAAACGTTTATTGATTGATTGTTTCTATCTAGCCAGGCAACTGATCAGTAGGGCCTCCTAACGTTCAAGCCACTCCTTGGTCTTTTACCTTTAGCACTGTGCCAAGAGCATTTTATTTGGAGTCAGAGGACCCGAGTTCCAACATTGCCTCTGCCATTCACTCTTTGTGTGACCCGGAGCAAATCACTTCCCCTCTCTGGGCCTCAGTTTGCTTATCTAGAAAAATGTAGGAGCTGGTTTAGAAGCTCTCTAAGGTCCCTTCTAACTTGAGGCATGTGGCACTCCCCACAACAACCCCTGGGGGAAGATTTCAATTATGATGCTCATTTTACAGATATGCACACTGAGAAACAGACTGGGTTGTCCAGGAAGTGCCTGAGGCTGGCTTTGAGGGGGGAAGATAGCTTCCACCCAGA